TGTGGCGGTGGGCTGAGGGGGGCGACGCACCCCCGTGACCCGTTCTGCTCTGGGACGCCTTAAACGCGTTTCCCTTCTCCGCTTCGTTTGGGTTGATCCGATCGGTCAGCCCCATATTTGTTTCCTGTTTGGCAACTCCAGTTTTCATTTTTTCTTGGTTTTTTAAACTTGAACTTCTAAATACCGTATTCAGTTGCCGTACTTTTGCCCGTTTTGTCACAGGCAGCCTGCTTGCGGGGGCTGCGCGCGCCCCTTCCCGCGGGTGGGATGCGCGCGCACACACACTCGTTCACTCTCTCTCTCCCCCGCGGAGTTGGTGCTGCTCGTGTAAATACCCGACAGAGGTGTCTGTGCTTCATAGTTCGGTTTGAATCCGTGCTGATAACGTATGCGACTACGTAGGTAGGGAGGTAAAAGAGTGCATTTAGGTTTGATTTAAAAGTCTTCACAATGTGGTTTAGCAGGTTTGCTGCTGTGTGGATATTCAGGCAATGGCTTGAAGGTATTGATGGAATTTAATAGAACTTTAACATATGCGATTGGTATCTTAGCTAAATCTTAAAAAAAACCCAAACCCAACACTAGGAACCAATAGCATAAAACCAGCTTTGGCTATAAAATCAGAAAAGGAGATCAGAATTTATTTTTAAACCATTTTTTCTCTTATACATCAGACTGTCGTTAGTAGAAGTAGGATTGCTATGTTACATGCAATATGGCAATGTATATTTGTTTCAAGTTGAACTTTTATTTCATTTTCTTTCCTGTGGTATAAAAATACCTAACTCTGAAAAAGAATAGGGATTAAGACCAATACAAAATCTGATTTCCTTTTCAGAGCCATATTTGCATAGTTCAAGGGCTGCCTTCCTCTGCAGGGTGGCCTCTGTAAATTCTGGAAAGTGAGCCGCCTCACTGACAGCTTTATATGACTTAGAGTGGGAATGTGTCTGTCATACCCATCAAAGCTGTTAATCCCTCTTTTGCAAGGCGTGGGGCAGGAGTGTAAACACTGGTCTCTCACCTCCCAGATAAGTGATCTGCTCAACTAGGCTAGATGATAGTCTGAATTGCATTCAATTAATTAAATATTCATTAGAATAAATACTGCAGTCCCAGGTTTCCTCTACTCTGATAAGTATGTGAACAATTTGATTATAGACTCAAATGCTGTCTCTGCTCTACGAAGTATGTTTAATTTTCCACATCTGTTTTAGTCACTGAATCCATTAAGTCGTGCTGATGAACAGTAATTTCTTGCTGAAGTGTTTTGCTGGATTAAAGACAAAAGAGGGTGTAGTTCAAATAAGGCTTTGTGTAGGTTGCAGTTTTCATGGTGGAGAGGGAAGGTGCTTAATAAAGATTATTAGGAAGTTATTAAAGAAGAAAACAGTAACAAACAAGGAAGTCAGCTGGGAGTAGACAGAAACTGCATACTTGGTGCTGAATGAGAGTTGCCAGAAGGAAGTGCTGGGAAGAGTGTAGGAAGTTTCCAAAGAACTGCAGTGTGAAGAAGTACAATTCTTCTTGATTCAGTTGCCCTTGGAACAGGTCATGTATAGCTGCATAAACTGAATAACTTCACAATACCTAACTTGCATGGGTATTTTAACTTAACACTAGAATTTTCAGTTAACGGCAGCCTAGAGCTGTACTTTATGCTTCTTACTGTTGATAAGGCAAAGGGCTATCTTTAAGCAATATTTAATTTACTTCTGCAGAGCTTTTGTAGATTAATGATAACAAACGTCTGTGTCACTGTTGGTACACTGTCTTACTATTTAGTTACATGTTTGCTGTTTTCTGTTGTGTTTATGTATGTTTTTAATAAGCTAGAGGGAGGGAAAATTTGAAACTGGTATGTGTATATAGTACGTGATTCTATTTTTTGTAGTTCAGGATTTGGTCTTCTTTACTTTTTCAATCTAGCTTTGTTTTATTTTTGATGTAAAAGCCAAATGCTACTCCCAGCCATGGCAAGCTTCATCTGGAGTAATTCACGGCAAATTTTGCTCTTTTCTGCTTGATCTAAAGGAAGAATGTTGTTTAGAATAAATTCTCTTCCAGTATGGCTTACAGGTATGAACACCTCCACTGTGGTTGTGCAAGGATAATATATGAAATGGCACACTCAAGATGTCTGCTGTCAGTGCAGGGGGCAAAATCCTGAAAGCCTTTGTAGGAGTTGCCTAACCATGGGATAAATTTTGTGAGTAAGATCTTTTCATGGCTGGGCTGGGTTCTGTGAAGTGCTAAAGGCTCTTGCTTTCCGTTGTGAAAATGGTGTAATATTAACCAGCTCGTAAGATTTATCTGTATTGTTTGAAACAGCCCTCAAACATAGCCTGCTATTTCCGTCTTTGAGCTGCCAAATGTAACTTGTAAATTCTGATTAGATGACTGAATTACTTGTAATTAACAAGACAATATGTTATGGATAAAAGGTTTTGACATAGATTAAATTCTCACCTTAATCATTGGTTTGTCTGAAGCTAAGGCAAACTTGTTGAAATAAAAGTTAGTGTACTGATTGCTTTTGCATAAAATTTGCACACCATAACTGAGTAAATCCATCAAAAGCTTATTTTAAAATTTAAAAATCTTAAAGACTAGCAAAAATCATTATTAAAGTGTTACTGTATACCTTTTGAAATGGTCCTTATAAATGTAGACCCAGAACGACTGGTCAGGCTGTTATAAATCCCAAACCCAGTTGTGCCACTGAAATCCACAATGGCACTGGGCTCTCCCTGTTAAAATCCCACCCCCCCTTCCTTCTCCCAGTTACAAAATGCCACATCTCCAAAACATTGCAGGAGATTACAGAGCGTAGCCTGAGCTATGCCCCTTGGGAATGATGGGAAAATGGAAATAGCCTGAGGTCATCTTCCATCGCAGTGTACCTCCTGCAGCCCGCTCGTGCTGCTGAGGGAACGTCTCCAGTGGCCTTGGCGACAGTATTTCCTTGTGCAGAGCAAGGAACCGCGTGTGGGTAGTTCGGGCTGGCACAGAGTCACAGGGTTTCTGGCTTCTCGGTTCCCTCCCAGCCTGTGCGAGTCCAGCTTGCTTGGCTGGTATGGGAGGGAGGGCAGGCAAATCCACGTTTGTAAAGGAGCGAGGGAAATTTATCTGTGTCAAAGCTCTTTGGAAATGAAAGAGTTTGGGTATCTTAAAAATAAGCATAATTTTATCCAAGCAAAACAGTCTTAGGTTCTGTATAATATTCCACATACGATTAGGCCATCATTTTAAATATTATAAAAGTGTATTTCAACTGAAAATGCTCTAGTCTTCTCAGTTCTGAATGTATTCCTCTGAGAACACATAGGTAATTAGATAAAATAATTTTACACGTTATCCTCTCTAAACTAGACGTGTGAGTTACGTATTCCAAAGCCCTGTGGCAGCATGGTTTAGTTCAGGCAGGTTTGTCCAACTTTTCACTAAATTGAAAATGTGTCTTTTAATTTCATGTACAACGCTCATCTTGTTTTCATGTGCTATGCAATGGTAGTCAACTCTGAATAAGAACAATTACTTCTCTCCCGTGGTACTCATATTGTTGTAGCACCAGAGTGCTCCAGAATGGACAGAGCCAGTGATGTGAGGCTCAGCGTGAAGCTGGGAGCTGCCTCACCTGGGTCAGAGGAGGAGCTGGGAGTCAGGGGTACGCTTGCTGAGAAACTGGTGTGAAGAAGTGCCAGCGAGCATTCATTTTTTAAGTATTTTACTTTTTAGTTCAGATTCTGTAGGCGTCAGAGTGATGTAGGAATTAGGCTGAATATTATAGACATTTTGGTGTTATGTCCCGTGTTATGTCCCAATACAGAGAGCTCCATTGGCGTTGGTGGGTTCCCTTCCTTGACAGATCTACCTCAAGTACACGGTGTGTGGGAGGAGTGAGCAGCTTTCTAAGTTTTCTGCAGCACTTACAATTTTGACATTTCTTAATTACAATCATTGCTGCTAAAACAGTTTTTTTCTGCTTTGATTTCTCTTTCCTGGTGCTGTTATGATTCACACTTGGGAGATTTGGAAAACTGCTTCAGGCTTCCTAAACTTATGCAACAGTTCACAGCTGGAAATCTGACCTACTTCAGAGCTGCTCTTACCGGGTTCAGAATGTCTCTGAAACTGAACTGCAGCAATATAAAATTGCCAAGCAATGCCCGCGGGTTAAGGGAAGAACTGATTTGTTATGAAAATTGAAAATTTGTCCTGTGAGGAACAATAGATAGTATGCTGTAAACTAACAAGTTGCCCAATTTTCGGATTAGATTCAGTAGGAATTTTGCTTACTTGGATAAAGGACTGGACATGGAGACTTCAAGCAATGTGCACGATTTTTATAACTGGTGGTGGTCCACAAAATGGAAGACAGTGTCTGCAGTTGCTTATAGACAGTGCTGGGAAAAAAAGTGAAAGAATCTATTTGAAAATGAACAAAACTGTGGTTGTTTATGGATTTCTATAATTTAAAAAGGCGTATTTCATTTTTCATTCAAGAATGTGTAAATGTTCCACATGGGCATTTTTTTTCATAGGCGTCATTCATGCAGTTTTGTGATCGTTTTTTGAAGCAATTGCCACTGCTTGGTGCATTGGCTAGTGACCTGATGTGGTTTGCTGGCGACTCCTCTGCCCCTCTCATTTTGGTGTTTAAGGAATATACAAATTTTCTTCCCTTGGTAAAACAAAAAGTGTTTAAGATGTACATCTGTTTACAGTAGCTGACCTTGATATGCAACAGGGAAGTCCATAAGTAAAAGACAGTGTCTGCAACAGGGACGTGTGATCCTTGAAGACCTAGTCCAGTATGCCAGCTTTGATTCATATCCTATTCTGTTGGCACGTACGGAAAATAAGGACTAATTTCCTCAGACCTGCAAAGAGGTGACTGACAAAAACCAAACTCTAAAACTGAGAGTAACAGATTGCACACTGCCACACTGTATATGGGTGGTTTCCTTTGGGGTGGAAAGGCCCTGGCTTTAAAACACTTCTAGGTGACTAGTGGATCTCAGTATGTTTATAGCTGATGATATTCAGATTACTTTGGGAATCCACGTAGGCCTGAGCTCTGAGCATAAAAGGTATTAGAGGTTAAAGTGCAGCAATCACCAAATCTTTACTTATTTTCTTTCCTGCAGGGCACTGTTCGAAGGATTATTATCGAGAATCCAGATCAGGTAGGAAAACTGGTTAGTGCTGGAGTGCTTGTGTAACTCCTCCTTCTTTAATTTTCCTGATTCGGTAAAGTGCTTAGCTGCCTCCATCAGGGGATGCTAAATATTTTGAAATTACACGGTCCATACCTTTGATTGTGAGAGAAATTACTAGGAATTGAAGACGCGACAGAATTGCCAGTCAGGCTTCCCACCTCTCAGCAGTGAAGTCTCTATTAATATGCCTCAATAGTACTGCTAGTGGGGGTTAATTTCTGACTGTTTCTCCTATGTTTATTTCAAATACTGTCTATATGGAAGCACAGTCACTCTGTTTCCGAATGGACATACACTCAAGCAAGCGTACATACCTTAAAGAACTATCTCAAAGTATGTATGTCCTCAAATCACAAAAATCCCAAATCCTTTTTTTAGTCAAAATTACACTAATTCTGAATTTGCTGTTTGACATTTATGAATTTTTTATTAAAATGTTTTACAGGAGCCATTATCCCCATTTCTCAGAGGGGGGAATTTCTGTCCTGGAAATAATGTCATCTATGAAAAGACAATAAGAAAATACGAGCTATTAAATCCCCACCAAGTAAGTTGGTTGTTTAAATTATCTATTGCAAAATAAAACTGAGATGGTAACAGAAAAGTAATGTTCCTGTGTTATTTTTTTTGTTGGGTACCACTGTCAACATGAGAACTGCCTTGTTGAATTGTAGGATACATTCTCAAAGTAAATGAAACAATTTAGGTATGTAAGGAGAGCGGAAGCTGGAAGGTTTGCAGTATTTTTACTAAGAATTCATTATTTCAGACTAATAATGAAAACTGCTGTTGTATCTCTAGCACTATCACTATTTATCTGAATACTGACTGAGAATTAGTTTCTTGCAGTAGCTCCACAACAGAATAACCAATGGAAATTTTTACAAAAAATTAATTGAAAAGACAAATTCTAGCTTTTTCTTTTTTTGTTGTTGTTTTTTTACTCATTCTTGAAAAAATATATTTGGTAAAACTGTTCGAACCTTCATCTTAGAATTGGTGTTTCATCAATAGCAAAAATATTATTTCCTTTTTCATTGCTCTGAAATAGTTATTTTCAACAGGAAGAATTTTGAAATTAAGACTATTTCAGAGAATCTTACCTGTTTGGGGTTTTGTTTGTTTTAACTTAAGTTTTCATTCCTTTCTGGATTTTATGTAGATAAATTAGGTGTGATGGCCATACCCTAAAGTGGAAAGGGAAAAAATTTGAGGTCATGATGAATAATAGCTTCTTTATTCCCACAGAATAATAAAGTGTGGAGTCTAGTCCTGGGAACCGTATTTCTACTTGTGTTTTTTGTTACCCAGGGTATATCTAGTTTTACATCAAATCAGGAGTGCAGTTTTGAAGAAGATTTCCCAGTCTCTTACAACATATTGCTCTTTAGTTTACACTGCACAGTGGTCTTGGACCACGCAAACTAGAGTTTTCAGGTAAAATTAAAATGTGTTGGAAGAGTGCCCCCAGAGTGCTACAACTCTTAATGGGTGTTTAGCCCATTCAAAACCTGATGTAAAACCTCCTCAGATTTGTAGAATGTTAATATTGGGTCCGCTCTGCTCCTCTAGTGCAAGTGTGTAATGTGGATGCAATATAGTCTCTGCGCTCTGATTTTGCTGCAGAATTAGATGTTGGTTCAACCTTTTAAATGTAACTGCATTGTGAATGTTAAGTCAAAATTGCCTGAAGCCTAGACTGTGCATTTATATACTTCCACGTAGAATACAAAATAC